CTGCCAAGTCACGTCATCTCTTATGACTGTCTCCTCATCCATGAAATGAGGTTGGATCTACAGGCAGGTGGGAAAATCTAATCCATAGTGGTGGGTTAGCCCAGGGCTTGGTAGGCAAGTGGATGAGATCAGGTAAGGCTAGGCAGAGGCTTTGAAAGTACAACCTGGAACCTCAAAAAGTCTGGTAAAACAGAGGGAGGCAAGGTATTGACCCAGTGTAAGACACACCTGAGGGTCAGCCCTGAAATCAACCCTCAGGTAGTTCCTGGTTCATCTCTCAGGCTAGCAGTGTCATAACCTTTTCCCTTCTCTCCCTCTGCCTCCATTATTTTCATAGCATTGCCAGATGGTTTCCAGAATATCTCTTATAGTATTCCCAACTCAAAATCTTCCTTCTCCAAGCAGATACCCAAGAGTTCTCCACTTGAAATTAGATTCACCTTTCCCCATATTTTTTGTGGATTTTGTATTTTAAATACTTATTAATATTTGCTTCACAGTGTAGATATTTATGTATACCTTCCTCAGTTAGTTATTATCTCAAAGGTATTAGGAACCCACACTGCTGATAACAGTATTTTATACACTATAAATTCTCCATTAGTGTTATTGAAATTCTTCATGCAAAGCATCTGTAATGTTCAGTCCTTAATCCACTGACCTTTAGTCACTTTTGTGTGTATGTGTGTAAGTTTGTGTTTTAGCAGCCCTCATAAAATTGCCAAAATTATTATAAGTTTGTTGTGTTTAAAAGTGAGACACTTTTAAACGTTAAATTAGACTAGTATCTTTACAGTCTTTATATGTAATCATTTCTTTTTGCAAGTGCCAACAGTTTTTGCTACTTTGTGACATAAGCAAATACAAAATGGGTAATATAAAATAAAGCCAGAATCTAAGGTGGTGACATACTTGTTTATGCTATTAATCATTTAGTTCATTCCAATACCTGATACTAGAGTGGGTTCAAGAATAGTGGTGGTAAATCAGGGCACCTGGATGGCTCAGTCGGTTAAGCATCTGACTTCAGCTCAGATCATGATCTCATGGTTTGTGAGTTCAAGCCCTGTGTTGGGTTCTGTGCTGACAGCTCAGAGCCTGGAGCCTGCTTCAGATTCTGTCTCCCTCTCTCTCTGCCCCTCCCCTGCTCATGCTGTCTCTGTCTCTGTCCCTCTCTCTCTCTCTCTCTCTCTCTCTCAAAAGTGAATAAACATTTTTAAAAATTAAAAAAAAAAAGAATAGTGGTGGTAAAAAGCAGGCCTTTGCACTGGGGATTTTCTTTTTTTAATATATGATTTACTGTCAAATTGGCTTACATACAACACCCAGTGCTCACCCCAACAAGTGCCCTCCTTCAGTGCCCATCACCCACTTTCCCCTCTCACCCACCCCCCATCAACCCTCAGTTTGTTCTCTGTATTTAAGAGTCTCTTATGGTTTTTCTCTGTCCCTCTAACTTTTTTTCCCCTTCCCCTCCCCCATGCTCTTCTGTTAAGTTTCTCAAGATCCACATATGTGCACTGGAGATTTTTTAAATGTCATGGTTAGCCTTTTTATACTTTTTTCCAAAGGGGAAATTATACTCCATTTATTTCTAAAACTGAGACTTCATGGAAGTACTTTAGTATTTTACTTAGAATCTTTCAGCCCTTTCCATTAATTTTTCTGATCAAAAGAAGTAACATTTCTATAGGATTTCACTAAAATATTACTAATTTGGAGATCTTAATTGTATATTGTTTTCCTATAATTCAAAGCCACTTACACTATTATTTACTATGAACTTTTTTCTTGAATGCTTCAAGAAAATACTTCAGCTTTTTTTTTTAATGCTTCAACTCATGAATGCTTCAAGAGTTACAGTATTCAATTCCATGTGATTGTACTCAAAGTCTTAAGTTCTAATTAGTGTAGAATAAATAAAGGTGTTTTTTTCTCTAGAGAGAAAAATCAAGCAGTGGCATAATTACTTTGGCATAAAGAACAACTAAAAGAAATCATCATTTTAGGGGATTTTTTTGTTTGTTTCTAAATCAGTGGAGTTAGAGTTATGCAGCAATCTCCAATGGGCTCTTTTACTCTGGATAGGAAGTAAGTGTTCGGTTTGTTGATATCCAGTAAACAGTGGGTTTGTCTCTGTTAAATGTCACTAGTGCTTCTAATTATTTTTAGAAGTCACAAGCTGTAACTGACAAGTCCGAATACAGAGATACTTAGAACAACACTGCTTTAGTATCAGCAACTCTCCGGTTACCTCTTCCCCTTTAATGATAGTTTTATTAGAGTGTTTCTGGAGTCCGGTTCACTTATAGATAGGCAGAACTATCAGTAAATGCCAGGCAAGCTGACCCAATTTCAGAGGACATCTTTCCAAATCGACCTTGCTTATTTACAAATATTATGAAGAACTCTACCAATTTTGCCAGTTAATTTTATTATCTATATTAATTTTTGTTATGTTTTTAAAAACCTATTTTGGGGTGCCTGGGTGGTTCAGTTGGTTAGACATCCAACTTGATCTCAGCTCAGGTCTTGATCTCAGGGTCATGAGTTCAGGTCCCACACTGGACTCCTCACTGGGTGTGAAGCCTACATAAAAAAATTTTAAAAAAAATTTTTTTTTATGTTTTTTATTTTATATTTGAGAGAGAGCATGAGTGAGCACGAACAGGGGAGGGGCAGAGAGACAGAGACAGAATCTGAAGCAGGCTCCGGGCTCCGAGCTGTCAGCACAGAGCCTAACGCAGGGCTTAAACCCACGATCCGCAAGATCCATGACCTGAGCTGAAGTCAGATGCCCAATCGACTGAGCCACCCAGGTGCACCCCCCCAAAGTTTTTTAAAAATAAAAACCTATCTGGGGGACCTGGGTAGCTCAGTCAGTTAAGCATCTGGCTTTGGCTTGGGTCATGATCTCACGGTTTGTAAGTTCAAGCCCCATTATCAGGCTCTTTGCTGACAGCTCAGAGCCTGGAGCCTGCTTTGGATTCTGTGTTTCCCTCACTCTCTCTGCTCCTCCCCTACTTGCGCTCTGTCTCTCTCAAAAAGAAGTACACATTAAAATAAATAAATAAATACGTACATACATACATACAAACCTATTTCAAGGTCATGCTTTATGTTTCTGTATTGCTTTGCTTTCATTGAAAAGTCGGTAAAGAAAAGTAAATAAAGAGTACAGATGTTTACTTCTTAATAAGTTGATTTTGAAAGTTTTTCTTTTAATCTAATACATTGCTTATGTAGTTAGGAATTAGATTATAGTGCCAGTGAGGTAACTGAGGTTTAGGAAAGAAGAGGTGTGTGGTAACGTCGGGAGTATAGGCTGTCATTAGGGTACAATTGCCAGGGTAAGCAGGTCTTGGGGAAGAAAGAGGATTTCCCCAGCACCCATTCTGCTGAGGCCACTTAGTTCTCTTTCCCCACAGCTCCAACCTCTTATCCTCAGAGCTTCTAAATTGCTAGAAGAAAAGGAGCCTAAATATATCTTACATGCTTCTCCTTTCTGTCCCTCATTTGAATTATGACTAAAATCAACAGTTCAACAACTTCATCTTATGTTTCATCTAGTGAAATGTTTGGTAAATATGTTAACCTTTCTTGATTGGACCTTCCCCCCCCGAAGTGCTACGAACATGTAACTATCTTAATGTAGGGAATATCTTTGGCAAATAAAGGACCTCAAAACTGCTTTGGCCTTGAGATGACTTGTAGAGTACTGGCAGGTTTGGGTTTTATAAGTTGTCTCTGTTACTTGAGACAATTGTCAGCAGAAGCTTCAGCTCATGTTGTGTTCTTCTTGTTTGGCAAGTTCAGAGACCCCGTTTGGAAATGACTCCACCTTCTGCTTCCTTTTCCAAAAAACACTGAAGCTTTTAGAATCCTTTTACAAAAATAGGAACATTTATCTTGCTGGTCTTTCTTCTAATTCTTGATAAAGAAGGGAAAATGTGCATCACAATACTGAAAATTAATCACTAATCTAAAAATCTTTGACAGTCTTCGCAAAGACAGTAGGTACTTTCTTTCTATTTTTAAGCAAGTTTATCTGAAGAAGAAACTGAAAACATGTAAGCAGTTTCTTCTTCCTTCATTCCCAAATATGAAAAGATTTATTTAGGAATATGGAGCATAGCTGAAGTGATCGTTTGAGAAAAGTTTAACTGGTAATTCCTCTAAAGTAGTCTATAGCAAATGTAGTCTTGATTTTATTTTCAGATACTCATTTGACCTTTTAAGTACCTTCAGTATATTTGTTTTTAGTAGAAATGTTTGTCATACAATGTTTCCATAATTTCATGTATCATTCTTTTTTTTTAGTGTTTTATTTATTTTTGAGGGAGAGAGGCACACAGAGTGCGAGTGGGGGAGGGGCAGAGAGGGAGGCAGACACAGAATCTGAAGCAGGCTCCAGACTTCGAGCTGTCAGCACAGAGCCCAATGCAGGGCTCGAACTCATGAACTGTGAGATCACGACTGGAGCCGAAGTCAGATGCTTAACCAAGTGAGCCACCCAGGCACCCCTCAAGTATCATTCTTAAATTGTCTTACAGTCAGTTCAAGGCATCAACCAAGTTACACTGTCCCCAAACCAGCAGGTATTCTCAAAGTGACTTGTGGGGTCATTTTTAGTTTTTTTACCTTTAGGAGTGAACACTGCCTGGAATAGTGTCCTAGATTAAGCATCAGGAATATCTTCCTTTTGTGGTAGAGTTCCCATTGCCATGAAGGGCAATTCGTATTGGGAAATGGAAATAGTAGAAGATCTAAAGAAAGAGTTCATCAGGTTGGCTCCGAGTCAAATGATGAGGCTTTCTCTGTCACCCTGATCTTATTCTTAGAGCATGGATGTTGAGCCACTACATTGCTCCAAAAGGAGTGCTCAGTCCCAGGGAGTACTCTGTGTCCTTTTTAAAACGTGGGAATCCTTTTGCCAAATTAGTGAATATTGAGGGCAAATTGAAAATTTGCATTTCCTAACTTGTTTTATTTGTGCCTAGGTGATGGGCCACCTGGACTATGCAACAAATGAAGAAAGCCCTGTGGCTGCTGGCGAACAGAATGTCCAACAATAATATTTTGTAGACCTGTCAATTGATTTTCTACAAATAGAGTTTGACTTTTGAAATTGATTTTTGAATTGACAGTCTGAAAGAAGCTTCAATGATATGCTTGCAAATATATATTTTTAAAGAGCTGGTACTGACAATTACATCAAATAGTTGAAATACATTTGCTTTTAACTATGTTAAAGTTGTGCCTTCACATTAAATAAAAGCGTATGGTCTGTGTAATTTTCAAGATCTATTATACACAGTATATTTTTCTAAAAAACTGTCTTGACCCACCCCTCTACTAAAATCTGTTTCTTTCAACTCTTAATGATAGATAAAAGTATTTCTGTCAAGGTGAGTTTATGAACAGATTTTACTGTAAAGAATTACATAAACTTTATGCTCTATAGAAATAACTGCTTAAGATCATGCTAGAAGGCAGTTCAGCGATGAAATTTTGGATCTTTTCACTGCAGTGGTTAGAAAAATAGGATTTGGGAATATCTATAAATGCGTATTTTTGTAGCATAAGGTTTTTTTAAAAATCCCAGTCTTTTTTTAAACTTGAAAATCTGAATTACTTTAGTCTGCCTATGTATTATATTAAAATATTTTTCCAGATATAAAGAAACATAATATATAGAACTAGTCTTCAGTTTTCAGTGGCCTGTTTTTCTTGAAGAGGTAGCTTAAATTTCTACACTAACATTCAATTTCACCATGGTATTTCTTACCTCTGGAATTTGGTTCTTTTGGTGTTAAGGCTTGACATTTTGTAAAATATTTTTTAGTCAACTTTTATATTAACACATGTGGCTCATTGTGTGAGTATAACATCCCTAACCATCTCTTCTTACCCCCTCATCCACCACCTTTTTTTCCCCTAATTCCCACTCCTTTCCCCATAGGAAAGCACTGTTAATTTTTTAATATTTTGATGGAGGATGACTTACTAATATACAAAGTGTGCTCCAGAGGAAAGAATTGGAGACAAAAGACAGGAGGCTGGGTTAGTCTCAATTTAATGACAATAAAAGAATTTGAGTAAATTGTCTTAGCTTAAAACCCTTGTATCTCAGTTTTCTCATCTGCAAAATGAGTGATTTAGACCAATTAATCACTCTGGTACCTGGTGGTACCTTCCAACTTGAAAAATATCTTTCTCATTCTTTGCCAAATCTCAAATGTGGCCTTGAACATTATCCTGGGAGTCAGAAGTCAAAGTATCTTTCTACTGTCTTTTATTTTCTTTAAGAAATTCCCAGGGGTGCCTGGGTGGCTCAGTCAGTTGAGCGTCCACTTCAGCTCAAGTCATGATCTCATGTTTCATGTTTCAAGCTCCGTGTCTGGCTCTGTGCTGACTGCTCAGATCCTGGAGCCTGCTTCAGATTCTGTGTCTCCCTCTCTCTCTCCCCCTCCTCCACTTGTGCTCTGTCTCTGTCTCTCTCTCTTAAAAATAAATAAACATTTAAAAAAAATTCCCAAATGATGAGTGACTGCAACAACAGGATTTTGCATTTCCCTGCAAGTAATGTACAAGATTGTGAACAAGTCTGATCTTTCATCCTAAGACCATTTCTCTGATTAAAAGATAAAGGTAATGCTTTTTAAAGCATTTATGTTTGAAGTAAATTTAACATTTGAGGCAATTAGTTGCTTTTGTTTAATTAATTTTTGCTGAGTAAACTGTAGGTAGAGCAGCTCCCTTGACAATGAGCCCCTCTTTCCACTTAGTATACTTATGGGTCCTTTGGTTTATGGCAATATGACAGGTAAGTATCTGACAAGTAAGAGTTAATCTTAATTTTGCCTACATAATATCAAGTTTGAATTTTTTCCAAAGAATCTAATTTATTTGGCAGACTCTGATAGAACAGATTAAGTGCCATTTTAAAGCTCCAGCTATATTTTCATTTATAATATCAATAAGATATTTGCCAAAATAGAGCTTTTTTAGTAAAATTATCTGTACTCATCCCAACTTTCTGATACTTTAAAGCCTCAACCACATTTTATGAAGAGCATTTTACATCTAGAAATCTGAAATCTTAGTTATTTGATACAAATTCAACTTTATCCAACTGTAAGTTATCAAAGAAGTAAAACTTTGTTCTAGTTTGCTATTGAGATCCTATTGATTAATAAAAATAAGAAACAGAGTGAAATTCTCCCAAGTTTCTCCATTCTCGATGTCAACTTTATGTTGTATTCTAAGACCCTCTCTAGCAACCTAGCTGGAAATATTTTATTTTGGAAATCAAAATTAAGGAAGGATGAGAGATGAAATTGCTCCTTAAAAGGCCACGCGTGTCCTTTCTTCCTCTCTCATCTTCCCACCACCTATAACTTGTCGGAAAGAGAGTTGGTTTTTTCCTGAACATGTCTTTACAACAGTGAGATATATTGCAAGAAAAAAAAAATACTTTTTAGATCTTCCCTGTGAACATTTTGTAGCGTATCAAACAAAGTAATATCTCAAATTGTAGGGTAGGTGATTTTTACTTTAATTTAGACCAGCAAAGATAAATGTGAGGTTAATGGTGAAAGACCTTGATATTCTAATACATTATGTTTTTGTAGATTTTTTTAGATTAGCAATACCTTTGTAGAATCTGTGATTTACTTTTGAAGGAAGAGAATTCTGCTGTTGGCATGTATAGATTTTAGTTTCATGTCCGTAGAGATTTTGGTGAAATGAAAATTTAGAGTAAATACAAATGAACTTTCTAGTTTTTCTTTGCTCTTTTGATTTCTGCCATAGGTATAAGCAAACAGTTGTTTTTTTGTTTTTTTTGACTAAAGACATTTGAACTAATTTTAATTAGGCTTGATTTCTAGAATTTCAGGCTGATCTCCACCAATGAGATTTCAAAAACACAGGAATTGCATTTCAGACCAGTAGAATGCACTGGTTTGAAAGGTTTTATATTTTCCCATTAATAAGGAAAAAAGTTGAATTTATTCAAGATGATGCCAAATAACCAATTCTACAGTTTTAAACTTTTTATTTTCAGTGCTCTATTTATCTCAGAGGACAATTCTAAAGGGGGCTGGAGAGGGTAATATAAATAAAACCAAAATACTGAATATAAGTACCTTTTTGCTTCCTGGAAGAAAGATACTCTGTAAATTCCAGTGACCTAAATCAATTACTCAGCCTTTTGGAATTTGAAAGAAATTGTGCAGTACTCATTGTTTGGGTTACTAAAATTTCAGAGTAAAAATGATTGACAGAGTAATAAACAGGCCATATTATAGTGAAGACCATATATATAAATTTCCTTGTTTAATGTTCCCTTACTTAAGGACAGCCTTTGCATCTATGAAAATGTTCATTGGTGGAAAAAGTATTTTTAAACTAAATTTTTAGAATAGTCCTCATTATTGTCAATTAAGAGGCAACAAAGAGGGAAAAAATGTAGAATATTTAATGTCATGTTTCTTTGATTAGAAAATTACATAAAAAATACTGTAAACAACTTCTATTCCTTTGGAGTATGGATTTTTTTTTTTTTATACCTAAGTTTATCTGCTTAGCCTGTAAAATTTCCCAGTAGGACAAATCATTGTAAAGTTTTTGCCTATTTTATATCTTCTGTTGTATTTTGTTCAAATGAGAACGTTTTTAAAAATGCATATGATTGAATTTTTACTTCTTAGATGATGGTTTGAGTGTGGAATTCTTTTTTTAACACTTTGATATGTAAGTTGGTGCAAATTAATAGTTTTATAACACTACTGGTCTCTATTTTTTTTATGGAACAGATTTAAAATTTAAAATTTTTTCAAGTGTTAATTTAGCAATGCTTTAAAACTTCATTATGTGCCAATACTGACAAGAAAAACAATTTTATAATGTATTGAATTCATTATGGTGTTCAATAAATTATATTTTAAAATAGAATTTAAATTTGTTTTATTTTTAATGGTGAAAAATAATTGAAAATGAACTAAAAGTATACCAGATCGTGTTCACATAAAGTATAAATGGTAATCATCACTTATGAAATTGTATAGTTATTTAAGTCTGACAAATTGTCCATAAAATCTAGATTCCATAAGCGTCATTTATTGCAAATTTGTACTGATACATAATACCCCTTCCTAAGTATTTATTGAATAAATGCATTATAGACTTTTTTTTTAACCAAGAAATCCTATCTGTTGAAATGGACATTGATGGCATTTGTGTCACAAATTACTAAGATGCCCGCTGCCATTGTATTATTCTTTTAACTCAGATGTGGTTGGCTCAGATATAGATTTCTAATGTGTTTGTCTTGACCACATGTTGAGGAAGTCCAGTCCTCTCCATGCCCTGCGCAGAGGAGCCTTGTTTCATCCCATATGCCCAAATATCCATGTGTCTGGAAAGATGCATAAGAAACTGGAAAGAGTGGCTGTTTCTAGGAAGAGGGCAAGTAAGATGGCTAGGGCACAGGGGTTCAGAGGGAGATGTATTTTTCACTGTATACTCTTAACACCTTTTGCATTTTCTATGATATGCTTCTATTAAGATTCAAAATACAAATCACGAAAGTCTATTGACTCTTAATAGGTATTCATACTAACATATGGTTAAATAATAAATTATTCATATTTTCTTTAGGTAGTTAGCCTTATAAACGGTTTAATGTGTATAGTGGGAGTAAAAAATAACCAACTCTCAAGTTTTTGTCTTTAAATAAAATTAATTTATGTTCTTTAAAAATTATGTTTATTAGCCTGAAGTTCATTTTGTTTTGTTAGAAAATAGGAGGACTAAATTTTATATTCACATCATTTCCATTTCTGTAACCCTAAGAGTCTAGATCAGTAGTTCTCAACTTTAATATTTCTTGTGGCCCCTACCCAAATGACCCACAACAAATTAAAAATAAGGCAAAGGCATAAAACCTAGACTCCAGCGGCACTTGGGTGGCTCAGTCAGTTAAGGTCCCAACTCTTGATTTCAGCTCAGGTCATGATCTCATGGTCGTGAAGAGTTGAAGCCCGCCTGGGATTTTCTCTCTGCTCCTCCTCCCCTGCTCATTTTCTCTCTCTGTCTCTCTCTGTCTCTGTGTCTCTTTTTCTCCCTCTCAAAATAAACTTAAAGGTAAAAATAATATATCATGAAAAGCATTAATACCAGCAATTGAAAACAATGACCAATTCTAGGCAACATTAATGATAACAAACTATCTTAGCAAAAAAGTTTTGGAAATTTCAACTGCTTGCATGTGAGTTCTCAGAATAGAC